CAGCTCCGCCGCCATCTTGGCCTCCAGCGTCCACCGCGCCGGGAGCCGCCGCCGGGTCACGTGACGCACGCGCGGCGGGGGGGAGGGGCCGCCGAGCCGACGCACCGCCCAATCCGCGCGCGCCCTTCTCCCCGCGGCGTCGCCGCGCACGCGCAGGAGCCCCGCCCCGCCCGGCGACGCTTTCCCGGGAGCCTTAAAGGGGCAGCGCCCCCCGAACCGGGGCCACGGCCGTTTCACCGGGGGCGGGAGTCGCAGTGGCCGCGTTAGCGGGGGGACGGCGCGCGGTGGGGGCCGCGCACAGCGCCCCCCAGCGGCTGTGGGGGCAGCCAGGCCTCTGCAGGCCCTGGGAGCAGCGAGGCTCCCAGCAGCACCGAGCCCGGGGCCTTCCCGCCCCGCCCTGAGGTGCGGGTCCCACCGCCGCCGCCCCGCGAAGGGGCGCGCAGCCCGGCGGGGCGGGGAGCCGCCGTGTCCCTCCCCGCTCCTCCGGGAGCGCGCTCAGTGCAGGTGCCTGCCGTTTGGCATTGCGGGTTCGGACGGGTGCGGGCAGCCAAAAGGAGCTTCCCCGAGGTCAGAATCCTCGGGGGAAAAACGAGCGGCCCCGGTGGCTCTCGGGCTGCTCCCCTTCAGGGGAATACGAAGGGCACGAGGCTCCCTGCAGGCTTTGCAGCTCGCTGGCGGAGCGCGGAGCTGCCAGGCCCTGGCCTGCACAAGGAGCGCTAGGTGCCGAGGGGGATACTGACACCTCCAAAGAGTGCCACATGCCCCCAAAATGCCTCCTGCGTGGCCGGAAGGGAGTTCCCCCAGCCGGACGCCGCCTGGATGTCCCCCTGCGCCTGCTGAGGTCTGGGCGCGCCCTTTGGAAGCGCGAGCCTGGATTTAAGGGGCAGTGCGGAGTGCTGGGGCGTCCGGGTGTCGCTGCTGGTAGGTGGGGGGGGCAGCCCCAACGGTCCTGGGGCCGTCAAAGGACGTGGGAGATCTCCAGCACTTTCCCTTTCTTGTCATCAGCCCAACGGGCTAATTAAACAAAGTCATTTGGCCGGTTTCCCAGATGGGCCAACATGGTAATGAGGTTCCCCAGCCTTCCCTCCCCCTCTGGCCAAAGCCGGTGTTGGTGCTAAAAAATTCAAATGGTTGCCAAGGCAACCCCGGCAGCCGATAACTCATCTTGTCCTAAGGGGAGCATGGGGCGCTCGGCCTTCCTGGGACCAAGGTGATCCCTGCTGCAGCTCCGACGGGGACCACTGAGCTCAGGATGGAATAGGAATTTGGCTGCAAACCAAGCCAGCAGGGTGGCTTGGGGTTAAAGTGGCTTGAATGTGTAAGAGCTTTTTGTTTGCTTGCTTTTTTTTTTTCTTTTTTTTTTTTTTTAAACATTGCAGCTGATTGAAATGAAGCAATTGTCTTGCATGATATTAAGAAAACCAATATTGGTGAAACAGGGATGCAGAGTTAGGGTCCTGCTGCGTGGAGAGTCTCTCTACTTGCCTTCCCTCACGTAATTGTCTCTACTACAGAGTGCTTCGCTTTTTCCCGTCTGCCAAAACACAGGGAGGGGAGTGCAGGTCTCCCCCTAAAACTGCAGCCTGGATCTTTTCCTGACCTTTCATTTCTTTCCCATGAATTTGCCCCGCTTCCTCTCTGCCGGAGCATGAGGACACGTCGGCGTCAGTCCGAGACCCTCTGCAGGATGAGAGCCTTTTCCAGAGGTAAAAATCCCCGCAAACGCGGGGGGGTTGGGAAGGCAGTTTTAGGAGACAAGGAACGTAGATCCTAACGCCCCCGCCCCCGCGAGCAGCCCCCTCCCTGTGCGGCCTCCCCGCCCGCAGGGGG